AGAGAAATTGAACTCAGGTGCGATAAACCAGTGTTTTGACAGGGGGGCAAACACTTGTTCACACAGGGCTCTATAGTTTTGGATTTTGTTTTCCCTTAATAATAAAAACCTTCATTTAAAAACTGCATGATGTGTTTACTTGTGTTATCTTTGACTAATATATAAATTTGTTTGACGATCTGAAACATTACAGTGTGACAAACATGCAAAAAGATAAGAAATCAGTAAGGGGGCAAATACTTTTTCACACCACTGTATCTTGTTATTTGAGATCTCTCTTTGCGATTTTTCCTCCTCAGATGCACTATCGTTTAGTTATAAGAATCACGCTGAGCTGGTTGAGAAAAAAAAACAACAACAATTTTATCCATTTAAAATTGAATCTTGTGTGCGCACAACAGGAATGGATTTGAATATCTTCTGAAGTGATTAAAGTTTACAGTAATATAACAAAGGCAACAACAGCAAATCCTTCAATTTGAGGAGCTGGGACCAAAGAATCTTTGGCATTTTATTTATGAAAACTGACTTAAATGACTAATCCATGATCACTTTATCTCTAAATGGAATGATTAGACACTGGCCTCATCTCCAACTATGATGGCAAGGATCGTAAAAAGTTAACAGTTTCAGCTAGAGCATACCGTTAATTCCTCTGGGGGACACCTCGGTCAGTTTGAGCCCACACTCCTTCAGGAAGGCAATGGCAACCTCCACGCTATCGTCTGTCGGTCGCTCCAGCAGCAGAGTGAGAATCTCCAGACACAAAACCTCATGGGCCTGAGGGTGAGAGACATTGAAGCAGACAGAAAGAGAGAGAGAAGTCAAGACACTTTGCTTGGAGCTGAACATCATAAGTCAAACTCTCCATCAGTGTAAAGCCCCTTTCAGACATGCACTCCTTACTCTGTCAGCATCTGAACGTGCCAACTTCCTGTCTTAATGAGCGCCCCGGTCACCTTTCCATAAAGTTGCAATGGCAATCTTACTAGCTCGGACCTAGTAACATTTACTGTACGCATCATTTTCTACAAGGCATAAGTCTGAACAGAATGCACAAGGTTCAGACGTAGTGATATAGGATACTGTTATGTATAGTGGGCCTACCAATTACAACAGACTGGGTGTCTGCACATGTCTCTCCTATAACTTTGTGAGCTGTGCTGCTCACTAAAATACATGTTTTAGACAATGCACTAAACAGCAATAACATGAGAAATAATAAAAACAAACAAACACATTTGTCCGACATATTGCAGTAAGAAAACTGTCCTTGTATAATACAAGTCACTCGATGTACTGTCCAATCTCCCACACATGTTGTGGCTTTCTCTGTCACGCTCATGGGTACATCTGAATAAAGCTATGTGGGACATTAACATCAAAGCATGCGAGAAAGCAGTCGTTTTATCAGACTGATAACGCAGCAATGTTATCTATCCCATGTCTGAAAAGGGCCTCACAGTCAGACAGCAGGACGTACCACGTTCTGGTTAATGAGGTGAGCCACAAACTTCGAGGCTGTCAGGCACTGTTGCTGGAAAACAAAATATACACAGGTTTTAATACATCACTAACACTACTGCTGCTGCTAATAAGGTCATAACTGCTAATATTAATAATGACAAGAAACATAATACAAATTTTATGCTGATCCACTGATCAACACAGACAGACAGGTACCTTGAGGTTACGGCGGTAGCTCCTCCTGAAGGTCAGGATGAGGCGCTTCAGGATAAGTTCTCCAATCTGCGGGAACTTGGAGTTGATGATAGCCACGACGGCAGCGTAGACATGAGTGAAGATCGGAGATGCTGCCTGAGCCTGCAGCACCGAGCGAGCCAGCAGACCCCTGGAAGTAGACAGTCACACAGCCAGAAGAAGTCAGGGAAACAGTCAGACAACACTTAAGCTGTAGACTTTTCTTTGTCTTGTATAGCACTGAAGATTTGTGTTTCACTCTCTGTCTACCAAAAATGTGAATTTTGTTGTTAAAGATTTTGTATATTTTATTTGAATGTTATGTGTAGTTGTCTGTCTGTGTTTTTTATTGTTCACCTGCCCCTGACAATATTCTCCTGCAGCAGCTCCTGGATGATGTTGACGAGGTTGGACACATTGACTTTGTTGATCAAACCGTTGATGGACTTCTTCAGAGCCTCCCAGCTCAACCTCTGATAGGCCAGGCTGCACAGTGGGAGCAGGACACAGATTATGTAGAGTTGTTTAAATAAACAGCCCAGCTTTCAGTAATGCATCCCAGAGTTAGAACAGAATTGATCCCAGCTGCAAGTTCATTTAACACTGCTGTTCAAAATTAATTATACCTTAAAAATCAGCTGCTCAACAGTAAGTATTTTAGAATAACAAATCCTTATTTGCTTTTTGTTAGTCTTCTAGGTTTAGTTTTCAGTCAGAGCTCATTAAAGCTGATGCTCAAATCTGAGATGTAAAATCATCCATGAATGCACCACACTGTATTAGAGCATTAACAGGATTAAATGTGTAAATCTACCATAACAGGATGATTTCTAATCCCAGTATGGATGTTTTCTAATAGCTGGATCCAATTACATCCAGTTCCAAGCTTGTAAATACCAAAATTTGTTAATCTCTGCAGCCAACAAATACCTTATCAAATCTTTCATGTTCTTTGTTCAGTCTCTTTTTCCTCACTCTCTGACAATACAGACATCAGCAAAGGAAATGAGTGATAACTCAGCAATGCCAGTGTTAAGGAACATATTGGCTTAAACAGTCCAAACAACTCCAAATACAACACCTGGGGAGGACAATTGCTTGGCATGTTAGTGTGACCTGCAATAGCACAACAAGGATTTTGCCTTTAGGTGCCATTATGTGCATGAAAATCATTACTGATTTATGTAATTGGTATCCGCTGAATGCTAAACTAACATTAATATTATTTTCAATAGACTGTTTTTACTGCAGCTTTTATATTGTCTTCAGCTGTAGTGACAGGGTTAACGAATGTCACAGAGCAGTGGTAAAATATTCAGCAGAAAGTCCACGGTTTAGGTTTGATAGTTACTTACTGTAATTTCTATTAGCATCAGCGTCATGTTTGCTAAATAACAACAAAAATTACCAGTTGAGTTAATATCATTAGCAGAAGCAAGATTCTTGAATATCAAGTTATACACAGTTCTGTTACACAAAGGATTTGTTTTGTTGTTGCACTGACCTGGTCTTGTCAGTGATTTGCTGCTGCATCATGCGTAGCTTGGCGGGGGGGATGTAAGCTCCACCAGTCTTCGTCAGGATCGGGTCGACCTCGTCCTTCTTCTTCTTGGCTGGTGGCTCATCAGCTGCTGCCGGCTCTCTGTTGGCTGGAGAAGAAGCAGAGGGGCCCCGCATCTTGTGATCTGACTCTGCATTCCGATTGGTCCGCCGGTCAAAGCGCCCGTCCCTATCATCACGACGATCATCGTAGCGATCTCTGAGTGGAACAGAGGAAGAGGAGAATGTAATGTGAAAGTGAACGCTATAGTTTCTTTTGTTTTGTGTTTCATGGTAAACTAAATCACAAGATCTCTCTTTGTGAGTCTGTGTTACCTAGCATAGCGTCCTCTGTCGCAGCGCTCCCGCTCTCTCTCCCTGGACCGAGATCTGTCTCGTCCCCTAGACCTGGACCTGTCTCTCTCTCTGGACCTGGACCTGTCTCTCTCTCTGGACCTGGACCTGTCTCGTCCTCTGGATCTCTCTGTCTCTCTGGACCTGGATCCGTCTTGCTCTTGAGACTTGGACCTGGATCTGGATCTGGATCTGGATCTCTGGAAGAACAAACAAAAAGGGTCAGCATTATTTCCTTCAGTTTTGGACTTGGACATTAACTCCTCTGAGAACCAACAGAAAAGCATGTGGCTGTGTTTAAAAGCCTATATTTTAAGAGAGAAAATGCAGCAGCTCCAGTTCAGCTTAAATCAGCCTGGGTCAGGGTCACTAAGTAAAAGCCTGTAGGTACCTGGGGAGTTAATGTCTAAAACAGTAATGAAAACACAGTTCTCTTCTGTCAATCATTAGCCGCATCTTTATTCCTTTACATAAATTTTAACAACTGCAGGAAGTGACACTAATCAGTACATATGAATTCATGAAATGCCAGTAACATCCACCGTAGTCCTTACTTACTTTGATCTGAGCTACGCTGCTCCTAATCTTCCTCAGTGCACCATCATGTTCATCTTCATCATCATTGCTACTGCTGCTGCTATCAGAGCTTCTGGAGGGACTGTGACCTGCAGGACTGGCCTGAGGGGATGCCCTCTCTCTGGAGCTTCTCTCAACTGGGCCGGCCTGTTGGGGCCTCTTTACTGCTGAACTGGCCTCATTCTCTGAGGGTCCATAAGACAGAGTTGATGATGAATATTAAAAATACAGCTATTAGTACTGCCATTGTAACCACAACATCATAAAGTATGGATATTAGGTTTTATTCACCACTGTGTTCTCCCTGCGTAGGACTGCATTTTCTGTCTTGAGAGTCCATACCTGAAAAACATACACAAGTTATCATTAAGACAGACAGGTACAACAGCAATCATTAAGAAGTATAGCAAACAATTTCATTATCGGTTTTGCTGATTATTTTCCCAATTGCATCACAATGTCTCAAGCCCAAGGTAATAAATTAAATCACTAGTTCAGCCCTACCAATAGTCCAAAACCCATGGGTATTCGGTTTGCCATCAAGACCAGCAAACATTCAGATTTTCAATTTTGTACCTTTGTACTGAGTTATTCTGGTTGTAATTTGTAGCCATTCCAACTGACTGCAACATTAGTGTTTTGTTGTCCAATTAGCAGAAACCAGCACATTTTCCTGGACCAGCAAATGAACTACATTTGCAAATTTTTGCTCACTTTTGGACCAGTTTATGTGGGACATAACGCTGCAGCCCATGTAGCATTTTAGTGAAACGTTGTTAAAACTTACACTATCAATACAGCTAGAAAGATGGGGAGCTTGTTCAGCTATCAAAGCGTAACATGAAATTCCTCATTTCACATACAACTAATGGTTACCTTACAACATTACAACATTGTTGTCATTTCTAGATGGTATTTTTCAGTGCCGTCGAAATCTCATCTGAGAGGTAGATCCTTCAGAACCAAAATAGAAAGAAATGAAGTTGGTTGCCAACACGGCTCCTGTTTTGGTATTTGGGTCAACTGGCCCTATAAAGGGAACGTAAAGAATCTGGTGTTGTGTCGAGACGTATTTCTTCTAACCTGAACCTCTACATAACCTGAACACATACTACCTTATCCAAACCATAACCACCGAGGGGGCGCTACTAGAAACACAGGAATAAGCATCTCGATGGGGGAAACAGATTCGACACAAGGACTGTTGTATACAAGACTGGATAATTTACGATTTATTATCGTAAAATTGTTTAACGCACAAGAACGGCTAACATTATGTTACGTGATCCAAAACAACCAGCTAAATAAATAACGCTACGTAGCGTTACGTGTAAATCTGTCATCATATGTTAGTTTGGACAAATTATTATGACAGTAATAATAAATCTGCATTAATTTCCAGCGAACGCCATGTGTGTTTGGATCAAATAACGTTAACGTTAGTCAGCTAACGCTAGCATGCTAGAGCTACCTTCGCGCTAACCGAGCTAGCTAAATTAATAGTTATTAGCTAGCAAGGACAAAGGCCAGTGGCATATTGTTTCTGTTATTAAAAAGAAACTCGTCCTACTGTATCTATTTCTTTTGCATTTTACTGCCGTCTTACCATTTGCTTTTCCAACTTGTCTCTCCGGTCAATCAGTGTCGTTCTTCTGGCGGAAAACTTCCGGATCAGCTATGGCTTCAAGATTTCACAATAAAGGTCTCCGGGTTTTAGCTGCGCTGATGTTGTCGTTTCGCCCCCTGACGGTGGAAAATATTAACCCGCCGAGGATGTTGCGTTTCAGTCCCTCATGTTTGTCTGTAGGAGGTGAAAAATTTGCAGCTATAATGAAGGAAAACAGTAGAAATGTTGGGTAATTGCTAAATTATGCCCAAATATAAAAGGTTGTAGTAGAAAACAGCCTAGGTGTGACTTAATGTAAAGTGGTTTATTATTATAACACATCTAATATCATTCTTATTATTGTCTTCATATGTAGTCTTAATCTGCAAACTAGTAACTATGGCTGTCAGATAAATACTATGTGTGGTGTATAAAATAGCATAAAATTAGAATACTCAAAGTATTAGTACCTCAGTCAATAATACATAATCACATGTGCCAAAGAATGGGAGAGCATTCGTATGAAAGCTCAGTATACGAAATAAATGATGTTTACCCATTATTTGGCCCCAAAGAGGTGGTGTCATGCTGTCAAAAGAATTTTTAATGAAGCAACAAAGTCACTGGAATCTTTTTAAGTAATTAGGTTGCTTGCAGCAAGGAGACAAGTCAGCATGAGCATACACGGTTGTCTAAGTGAGGTAGGTTCATACAACATAACATAAAGTAAACAGGTGCACCCTGACAACACGACTTAGACGCTAATCATACTGGGACACATGCTTATCCTACAGTTGACAGTTGTGTCTGGCTTCGTCTGGAACAGTCTGTAGTCGAGTATATCACAGTACACAGAGTTTCACATGAAAGATAGAAAACGTTCTTCAGCCAGTTTCTCACATGGCTTTGTTCTGAAAGTTTAAAAAAACATTCAATATTAAAAATCATGTCTAAGAACAGAATTTTTATAACACATGCCATGCAGTCATAAATCTTCAGTGCCCCACAATAAATAAAATCAAGATCAAAGATTTTTATTGCCAATTCACTATATGTGCAGGATATACAGAAAATCGAAATAACGTTTCTCTCTCACCTAGTATTGAAAGCTATACCATTTAGGAAACTAAAATAAAATAAAAGTACAGTAAAAATAGATAAAAAAAAAATAAGAAAACTAAGTCAAAGTGATTAGGATAAAGCTAAGCGGTACAATCTAATAGGCTATGACTCAAACCATGTACAATCAGTGACAATAGTGCAAATAATAACAAGAAGACTGTGAGATGGTTATGAGATTAAGATGCACATGGACAGCAGTGCAAATGACCAACAGCAGTAGATATGATGGTAAAAACAGTCAGCAGCAGATTTACATGTAATGTAACAAGAAGGGGGAATGTACTGGGTTTGTGCAAAACAGCAGAGGTAGTCTTTTTATGGTCTGTGGTGGGTCACAGTCCAGCGACAGGGGGCAGAGGAGGCGAAGTAATGGATAGCGTTCAGCATCCTTAGAGCCTGGTCAATAAAGCTGTTTTTAAGTCTGGTGGAGTGGGCCTGAAGACTCTGATACCTTCTCCCTGAAGGCAGGAGTCTGAAGTGGGAGTGTGTGGGGTGGGAGGTATCATAAGCAATGCTGATGGCTCTGCGAGTGAGGTGGGTGTTAAAGATGTCCATGAGGGAAGGCAGAGGGGCGCAGATGATCTTGCTAGCTGTTTTCACTATGCATTGCAGGGTCCTTCTGCAGGAGGCAGTACAGGCTCTGTACCACACAGTGATGCAGCCAGTGATGATGCTCTCAATGGTGCCCCGGTAGAAGGAGCACATGATGGGGGGAGGGGCACTGGCTCTCCTCAGTTTGCATAGGAAGTAGAGGCGTGTTTGAGATTTCTTGGCCAGTGATGTGGTGGTGTTGATCCAGGAGAGGTCCTCAGAGATGTGCACCCCCAGGAACTTGGTGCTGCTCACTCTCTCCACTATAGCACCGTCAATGGTCAGTGGTGGATGCTTTAGAGGTTTTCTCCTGAAGTCCACAACAATCTCTTTAGTTTTCCCCACACTGAGGAAGAGGTTGTTGTCCTTACACCACTGGACCAGTTGGCACACCTCACTACCGTAGTTGGCCTCATCGTTGTTGGTAATGAGGCCAACTACAGTCGTGTCATCCGCAAACTTGACAATGTGGTTGGTGCTGTAGGTTGGCACACAGTCGTGGGTCAGCAGTGTGAAGAGCGATGGGCTGAGCACACATCCCTGCGAAGCCCCTGTGCTCAGCGTGATGGTCTTGGAGATGTTGCTGCCGACCCACACATTTTGTGGCCTCCCTGTTAGAAAGTCCAGCACCCAGTTACAGAGAGAGGTTTTGAGTCACAAGTGTCCATGTTTTTGTATAAGATGCTGGGGAATGATTGTGTTGAATGCTGAACTGAAGTCTAGTAACAGCATTCGCACGTAAGAGTTTTTTGAATCTAGGTGGGTGAGGGCTGGATGGAGAACAGCAGTAATGGCATCCTCTATGGATCTGTTTGACCTTATGCAAACTGAAATGGGTCATGAGAGAGAGGAAGGATGGACTTGATGTTCTGCATTACCAGCTGCTCAAAAGCACTTCATAATAGTTGAAGTCAGTGCTATAGGCCGATAGTCATTGTAACTGGTTGGGTGGGCCTTCTTTGGAATTGGAAGTATTGTGGTGGCCTGAAGCACGTGGGAACAAGTGCTTGGCTCAGGGATATGTTAAAGATGTCCATGAGGACATCCTTGAGCTCCTCGGCAAAGTCCTTTAAAATAGGACCAGGTATGTTATCCGGTCCAGCTGCCTTGCGTGGGTTGATCCTGGAGAAGGCCTTATTCACTCTGGCTGCAGACACACACACAGCCTGTTCACCTGGGGGAGGGGTGGTCTTCTGTGCTGGTGTGTTGTTCTGGGTTTCAAAGCGGCCAAAGAAGTCACTGAGGCTGTTCAGTAGAGAGATGCCACTGTCACAATTCTGAGGTGGAGGTTTATAGCCTGTGAGAGCTTGGATGCCTCACCAGAGACTCTTTGCATCTCTAGTGTTGCCAAAGTGTCCAGATATTTTCTTGTTGTATTGACATTTTGCCTCCCTGATTCCACTATTTTCCAAAACTAATTTATCCTCAACACAGAGCCTGAATCGTATCCTCACCCAAGCAAAGAGCAGATATGTGGCTTGACACTCAGCATCTGCATTGTATTTGCTCAGGTTAGGTAGTGGCTGGCCCATCTGGCTCGTAATGGCAGTCACCTCTGATTGCCTGGTCCACTCAGTAGTCCAGCCACTGACACTGTTCTACTGTCAAGCAAAAGAAGACTACACTACTAACAGCCCCAGTGAGTCAATAACTATTGTCTCCAACACCAATACAAATTATGTGTGGGTATAGGAGGCAAGTCTAATATAAATTATACTTCTGTGCAGTACTTGAAAATATTCTTAGCTAGTGCCTTGTCGACCAGTGATAAATAGACTTATCCTAACCTTAACCATAACCACTACTTGCCTAACACCTAACCCTAAACCATGTTGCCACCCTAAAATTCAGTGATTTTCTTGTAGATACTAGCTTCTGGTCCCCACAAGGATGGCTGAGTCCCCACAGTGTGCGTGTGATAACAGGTTTCGGTCCTCATGATGCAAGTAACACAAAGGTGCGCGCGAGCGCGCGCACACACACACACACACACACACACACACGCACACACGCAGTGTCAGAAGTGAGGCAGCAGTAAAAAATAAATACATCTTTATTATTCTCATCTCTACAGAGTCATCCCTCCCCTGCATCCCACTGATATCAGTACAAAATACATATCATCATTAATCGACATCTACAAACATTAATGGACACCAACAGTCAGACAGTAAAGTGTAATTAGAAGCATGTGAAGGATCCTCCAGAAAAAAATAAAACAAGAAGAGCCTTAGAGATCACAGTGAGTGTTGGTCCAGCAGAGCGGAGTTTGTGATCAGTAAAACATGATAAACAAAGTTTATCCACAGATGAAATGTCCAGTTAATAATGATTTGGAGCAAAAAAACACCCAAATCAGATGTGTCAGAAAGCTCCAAATTATTAATAAGTGAACTTTTGAGCTTTGATTCTCTTTACATTGCTCTCAAATGAACATGCACATACACAAAGGTTGGCATTCAGTAGATAATTTCCATTCTGATACGAGTCTGTGGAAATTTTCAGGATTATTGTTCCATTACAAAGATACAAAAAGAGGTATTTAGGGGCCTGTTTGACTTAATTGACTGGTCCATTAACCAATCACACTTAGCTATGATGATGGGGAGTTCCTTTTTACCCAGAAATCTGTGAGTAACCACACAGACACTACACACAGGCTTCAATGGTGAAGAAAACAGATAATTTTAGTGAATAGTAATTAGTAGTTCAATGATCAATGAGTCCTGTGGATTCTAAGTGAAGAGGAAGAAAATCTGTTTCAACAAAAACAGCACACATGAAATTAATTTGTTTAGGACATGCAGGTAGAGTTTGTGCTGAAGTGGTGTGGGAGGCCTGATCACATCTGAAATATTAACAGTGATTTACTGATAACTTGTAATCACAATATTTGTTCTTGTTATTGCACACAGATTTCATCATTGGACAGTGAGAAGCTAACATGCTAACGCAGCTCAGGTTTGGGCTACACGGACCAGTCACAATCAATCAATGACCAATACATCATCATTAACATCACCACGACAACTTACTGAAACCTGCTGTTGTTGTAGACTAAACTTTGATCTCTCATCCTGACATCACACACCAAACTCCTCACTTGCTCAGTGACAACGCACACAAAGAAAAGGCCGCATTAACTACTGCAGCACAAGTCCTGGTGTCTGAAGCTGTTACTGTTCCGATTCTCTGAGTAACCAACTGATCGCTGGTGACATCTGTTCATCAGCTAAAACTACTGATAACATCTGTGCGAGTGAACCTCAGGTGTGCTGGGACTGATGGCTTTAAAATATACCTTCAAATATTGAAAATGTATTGTGAAATGATGTTTTATGAACTGACTGACATGAGACTGCAATGTCAGAAATGAACAATTAATTGATTCAACTTTCAGAGGCGAAAGGAACAGAAGCATGATGATGATGATGATAATGAAGAAGGAATGATGACAGCTACAGCATCATGATCCTTTAACAGTATACCTTAAAACCCTCTTTATACCTTTTATGTTAAGCTGAAATGTGAATGGAATGAGTAATGTTAAAGTGCAAAAGAGCTCAGACCCTTTTTTAAAAGATTAAGCAATGTAAACCTTGTGTATAGATTAAATGATAATTAAAGCATTTCTAGCGTTTTTATAAAGAAGCTGGTCCACTGTGTGGTGTTGTGTGTTTTGGCTCAGTTCAATGAAATTATAGAAAACCCGAACATAATTTCTCTCCTGCCTCATGTAGTATCCTTACAGGCAGATCATTTTGGTTTTAAATTTAATATCATAATCTGCTAGAATTTCATAAAATCAAACCCTGTTTTTAATATTAGTTTTGATCAGCACTTTACAGCAATGGCCATTCAAGGTATTTACATTTAATTCACCTTTATTGTATTGGCATGTAGGCAGAAATCCCTGAATTAAAAAACTAAAAATACAGCCTGATGAGAGGAAATAAAGTTTGCTTTGTAATTTGGGTGAATCCGGTGCTGTAGTTTACATGTATATTTAACCCTGATCAGTCTGCAAATAATTCAAAACCATTTTAGCCACAGGTTAGGCTACAAGTTGCTGATTATTATTGTTACATGGACTTGCAGTGTAGCTTTATTATGTGAAAACAGACATGACGTCTATTAATGTCCAGGACCACGGGTTAAAGAACTTCAAGACACCCACAAAACTGGGATTAGTAGTGGTGGAATTAGCAGCACTACTGTTAGTTGCACCATGTGTAGTACTTACTAGTAACAGTGGGGCAATGGTGGTAGTCTTAAGTTCTGGCTTTTGATCACAGCTGTTTAAAAAAGTAGAGGATGTGAGGGAAAAAGCATTTCCAACAGCTTAAAGGGAAATGAATACCGGAGAAGGTGGGGACAGGCTTTTAAAGACTGGTGCTCCCAGCATGCATCACACCAGCACACTGCAACTGAGCACATACCAGAAATGTGCTCTCTGTGTCCTGGCTGAGGCTCTGCCCTCCACCTCTCACTAACAAGCATGCTCATTAACAGCAGGGCAGCTACAAGTGGGGTGCGTGGGGTTGATCACATGTACTGTAGCTGTTCATTTTTTACCAGTGTTACAGACATACAGTGTTATAGACACATAGTGTTCGACACAGACAGTGTTACTCAGCCATACAGTATTACAGACAGTAGTGCTGTTCAGGCTGTTGCAAGGCTGAGGGTGAAAGGGGCGGTGCTCTGCTGGTGTCATCACTACAGGGGATGTCTCCTGGTGGGCAGGGGTGAGCACTGTGGGGACGCAGCAGCCAGCAGCTCATTGTAGATCTCCCTTCGGACCTCCTGCGCAACACTCTCTCGAATCTGGAAAACAGAGGCAGAACAGTTAGAACAGTTATAGCAATGGGTTCCTGTAAAATTTTGAAAATTTATGCAGAAGATGCTCTAAAATCTAACTAGATCCTCCACTCCATTTGGTGTACTGGTGGTGTAGGTGTGACATTTCTGCTAAGTATCATCCCTGAGTTATTGTGCTCACAACTATAGACAAGCAACAGATGAAAGGAAAACCCAACATGAAGTCTCTCAGTAAGCTGCTGTGCCACCAGAAAACTCATTTATTCAGGCTTGAAATCTACCTTGAATTTATCTATTCAATGGGCTGTGAAGTACTGTAGACCTGTCATTTAAAAAGGTGTGATAAAAAGAAAAGGATTTATCTACATACTGTATGGGACAATATGAAGTAAATTAGTATGCTTCTTTTAGAAGTCAGCCTGTAAGGAGAATTCTGGGTACTGTATTCCATTCAGAACAATAAGCTCTTCAGTGCTTGCATTCTCATTGAAGGTGTTTTTCTTCTATGGCACAGATGAAATTAAAAATAAAAGTGGAGTCTTTAACCAGTAAACATCCTACAAAGTAAAGTTGCTGGCAGACTGTTACCTCTCTGATGAGCAACTGCAGGTTCTCCACTCTGATTTCTCCTGCTGCTCCCTCCCCCTCTTGTTCTTCTCCAGCACCTCCTCCACCTATTTCACTTCCATCCTTCTCTTCGTCTTGCTCCTCATCTTCCTCGGTGTGTGCGCTGGGTCGAGGAGGGAGGGTGGGGATTATGTTGATTGATGCTCGGTACGTGCCTTGTCTCTGCTCCTCATCTTCTTCTTCTCCTCCTCTGACCGGACTGGACGATCGGGAGGAGGGCTCCGTTAAGGGCTCGTGATGGTCACAGCTGAGCTCTGATCGGAGGAAGAGCTGCTCTCTGAGGAGTTCCGACATCTGGACAGTCAATAAGACAGACAGGAAAAGGTTAAACATTAAGACAAACTTTAGTTTTATTAGCTTTGTATAACAATTTTGTGTGTGTGTGTGTGTGTGTGTGTGTGTGTGCGCGCTAACCGGCTCCATGGCCCTCAGTGCAGAGGCTGTGCACAGACTGTCAACACTACTGTCTCTATGGAGACCCTGAGAAAGAGAAGACGGACGCACAGCATCACTACATGGTCACGTCATGTCACATCCAGTTCATCTGTCCAAAATCAAATTAACTGCCTCAAAAGGGCTTTAAAATGTACTGCAGTACAGTATGCACTAGTTTGGTGTGTAAAACATTTGTGTATTGTTGATACACTCTGCATTCTGTGTGTACTGTACATATCTGAAGTACGTATGTGTATATACCATGTGTGTATGCATCCTGTAGTGTGCGAGTATACATACCCTGTGTTGTATACTATTGAGTATATCCTGTAGTTTACGTTTATGCCCTGTAGCTTTGTGGGTATAAACCATCTGTTGTACAATGTGTGCATATATGTATAGTGTATATACCCCTTGTGTATATATGGTGTTTGTATTTACCCTTTAAGGTACGTAGTGTGTATATATACGCTGTAATATTTATTTTTTATAAATGAAGGAAACAGAGACCTTTGTCACATTTCAGAGTTTACTGGTTATAGCCTAAATGTGCTAAAAAAATAAAGGAAGGGTCATTTTTGTTGTTGAAATATTGGTTCTTTTGTCTCTCCAAAAAATATTTTAATCAGAACCAAGAATCAATAAGAACAGTTTAATAAGCAGAATCAGAATTGATCAAACTGAAACAATACCCACCTCTAATCATGTGATGTGTGTTTTGTGGGTATACACCATCTGTATATAGTGTGTATACTGTATGTATACAGTGTATAAACAATACTGTGTTGTGTGCACATACCCTGTATTGGGTGTATATACCCTGCAGCATGTGTTTATACCCTGTGCTGTCTGTACTGTGTATATCTTCTGTGTAGCATGTATATACCATTTGATGTGTCAGCTCCAACAGTCTGTCTTCCAACTGTTGTTCCAGCTCTTGTAGTTCCTCTCTGACTGCTGACCTCAGAGACTGAAGGTGCTCCAACTCCGACCTACACACACACACACACACACACACACACACACACAAGGTTTGCGTTCCAACATCATATTAGATACAGTATCATTGGTCCAGATTACTGCAAAACATGCATGTTTGCTTTTATGAGTCACCTGTCAGCAGGGCTCAGGTGCTTGTAGGCCAGAGCCTGCTGTCGGATGATTGACATCTCCAAGTCCATCATCTGGCTGCGGAATAAGTTTAAACTGCGCCTCTTCTGCTGAAACTCTGTCAGAGACTGAAAACAGTGAGAGAGGTAAGGTCAAACACACTTTGATCATAATGACAACACCAACAGTCCACTTTGTTGCCTCAGTACATCACACTGGAAAATAAGTCATATATATGCACTGCTATTATGTTAATTATTAGAGTCTGAGTACTAACTGATGGGAACTATGTAGGTATGAAGCACATGGTCCTCAATTTAACCCCTTAGTAACGACCCACTCAGAGAACATTTTCCACCTTCATAAGGAGTGTGTGATTTTATGTTTCTGCCATGGAAGTCCAGTAAAACTTGTACATAGTGAAAATTAACAAGACAAAAACTAACCCGCTGGATTTAAATCACAAATTTAACTACTGCACAGCAGGCAGGAAAAGGCAACAGATGGAATTTATAGGGGTACTGATGGATGACAGTACCTGGTGACTGGGCAGAGCTCCTCTGTGCTCAGTGAACCTGTCAGGAGTGTCAGCTCGGTTCTAGATAGAGAGGACAGTGATGTCAGGACAGAAACTGAACATAGCAGGCTGACAAAAGAACAATCTGGAGCCAACCTGGTCCAAATCACTTCACTTATAAAAAGGTACAATTTATTAACTACAGGACATGATGTCATCAACAACACTACGATACAGTGGGCCTAATGGGGCAACTATTTCAGCATCAGGCTGTAATACAAATTTTAAACAAACCCCCAAGTTGTCCACATTTATTTAGAAGAGAAAACAAAGGACGATGCCAAAATAACAATCTAAGATAGGAAGAGCTAATAGGACTACAACCACAAAAGACTACAGCTAAAGCAACAGCAAAAGCTAAAGGGACTAAGACTGACAAGGACTAACCTGGTTCAGACTCCGAACCGTTCCTCTGATATCATGCAAAACTCTCCTCAGCTGCATCTCAGTGCTGGATGGGCTCTGGGTGGGACCTGGTAGTGCAGACGCAGGAGGAATGAGCCCTTGGTGCAGGCTGTGACTTGGGTTGAAGGCTGAGGCCAGGCCTGGGAGGAAGCCTGGAGCAGCAAGACCCGGGTGAAGGCTGTGTTCTGGGGCCAACAGCGGATACTCTGTGATGGGGTGGGGGAACGCCAGCGGCTGGCTCATGTTGTACCCATGGTAAACAGGGTAGGGTGAGGCACAGTGTGAGCCGTAAGGAGAGGCATAGTAAGGGGAGTACTGACTGTATAGATGATTGTAGCCCTGGTAGTGCATCATATGAGACTCGGAATGCAGGTTTCCAGGACTGATGTGGTGAGGAGCTGAGGAATTTGAGGGCTGATGCAAATCCGAGAGGCTGCCATGCTGAGGGACTGTGGGAGCTGTGGGTTGGTGAAGACTGGTCAGACTGGAATGGTTGTTCAAGAAGGGGCTCTGGGGGTGATGGAGGTTAGGAAGACTAGTGTATGGGTGGACAGCAGAGGGGTACTGTGGAGGAGGGTTCAAAGAGAAAGGGTATGGGTTGAGGTTAATGCTGGGACTGGGATTGGGGCTAGGGTACTGAGCTGCAGGATTTGAATTAGGGTTAGGGTGAGGGTGAGGGTGAGGGAACACCATTTGCCCTGAACCCCAGTTTTGCTTAACGCCATTTGCCCTGAACCCCAGTTTTGCTTGTTTTGGTTGATGGCTATGTTTTGTTGGAAGTGGCTTGTCTGCTTGTGACTGGAGGAGAGATCAGGAACGCTCTGGATGCTCCATGAACGGTCAGAGCCACGCGGTGGCCAATCAGGAGGAGGACTGGAGCTATGCAGGGAACGGGTTGACCGCATCAGGTAGTGTGGGATGGGAGCTTCTGAGGGAAGTCTATTTGCCTGGTGGGTAGAACCAGATGTAGGGGCAGGGCCTATATACAGAGTAGACAGACAGTTGGTTGGTCCTTCTTTCTTCTCTTGCTCTTGCTCTTCATTGTCCTTTCCAGCTTCCTGGGTGTATTTAAAGGAGTACCTGGGCTGGGTGCAGGACGCCTGGCCTCGCCCAAACTGGATCTTGACAGAAGACACAACCCTGCTGGGCGAAAGGAGAGTGGAAGGCAGGGAGGAGGACCTCTGCATGCGGATGCCACATCTGCCTCGTTCTCTTTCTGGGGTTTGGGGCGCGTCATTGGGCTGTGGGTCGAACTGCTGCCCTACCAAGCTCAGGTGGTTCTGTTTGGCTCGATTCAGAGCACTAAGGACCACAGAGGATGGAGAAGAACAAAGTGAACTAGAATCATCCATGGATGCATTATTTTCTTGGGCCTGATCCTCAGGAACCACTCCCTTTGTAGGTGGTTCTGTGTGTGGGGCGATGTCGGCCTGGTTCTGTTGTGGTTCTTGTTCTGAAGCAGACATACTATGAGTAATCTCCTGTTCTGGTTCTGGTTCAGGTTCAACTTGCTCCTCACCCTGAGACTCGTCCTGCTGTGCTTCTGTTGGTCTGTTAATGGGAAGGTGGTGAGGCATGTAGTGTGGAACCTGTTCTAAACTCCCATCATACTTGTCTTCTTCCCTGGAACTACTCTTCCCATCAGCCTCAACAGCATCCTCAGGCCTCGTCTCCTCCTCTCTGCCATCTGGCAAATCAAATGCTGGTTGGTCCATTGCGAGGGGCGTGGTCGCATCTTGTGATGGGTGTGATGTGACAGTGGTCTCACTGTCACAGCTGTCACTACTCTCCTGCACCTAATTACAATTAATTAACAATTACCAGTTGTGAAATAAATATTCAGAAACTACCAACAAAATATATAAATATTCCTGCAATCAAACTCCAGAAATAATATCTGCAAAATGTATTAAGTAAAAGTACTAATTTTGTAAAAAAAAAAAAAAAAAAAAAAAAAAAAAAAGACAGTGACTGATAAATTAGGATATTATTAGAATTAATATTGATGCATCAATGGGTAAGATGCCATGTCACCCTAAATCCAATGGTTCCCAACCTTGGGCCCTATAGAGAGTCATAAATCTGAGGGGCCGAGAGATGATTAGGGAGATAATAAAGAATATATCTGCTTGACTTTGTTATTCTGTGACATCATCTGACCTCTGATTATTTATTAATGATTTCCCTGCAGAAGTCATATGGAAAGATCAATTAACCTTTATCAGCAGATTTTCAAATTTGCTGAGTAATTTTCTGTCATAACGAAATAAATGCTAAACACTGTAAAACATTCTCATTGATTTTTACTGTTTTATAAAACTGATTATTTTTCCCCTCCTAAAATGTGGAAAAACAATTACGCGGTCTGTAATAAACAATCAAAATTCATAGTGCAAAAGCACAACATGCACTATTACAACTTGTACTCCTCTCGGGGCGTTCGCTCTAATCAGCTGCGTTTAAGACATACTTTAAAACAATAAGAAGGGCCTAAATAAATGCATGCTATTTTTGAAAAAAAAAAAAAGAAAGAAAGAAAACAGTGTCCACGTGGATACAAAAATGCCACCAGTTAAGCTGCTGTTTTCTTCAGTCAAGACAAGTTGTGTATTTTTACTTGAAACAAAGGATTTTCAGACATGTGAGAATCTGCAGCTACAGAGGCTCTGAATGTTTGTTTTCGGAGAGGCTGACTTATAGGGTTTCATTACAGACCATGAAATGATGTTTTTATAATTCGCATGCGTCTAATTTGGACAGATGTTTCTCTTCCTAGTGTGATAAGACTGACTGGAATTTATGAGTCAGTTCAAATGACTTAAAAGTTCAAAGGTGGCAACTTAAACTGTGATAAAGGGGAGACAGACATCCAACAGAAAGCAGAATCAGACCTTGAGACAGCTGCTGGTGTCAGCAGAGGGCTCTTCAGCAAAACCGCTGCTGTCTGACTGCTGACTGACACTCCGCAACAGGTCTGAGAAAGAGAGACAGACAATAAAAACAGTGATTATTTCTGCAGTACTTTATATATCCAGCAGGTGGCACAAACAGATGTCTCAGAATAAACTAACAAATCCTACAGAAACAGAAATCCTATAAAACAGAAACTCATTAAATTCTACTTGAAGGATGTAACTCAAAGCCAGAATGCACAGTGATATATGCTTTTATTACAAGTTTACCTTTACTGAGCTACCTAAAAACCTGTCAGAGAATTGGTTAACTCAGAATACTTCAGCCAAGAATTTGACTAATGTAAAAACAGAGACTAGATACAAAGCAGAATTTCTATACATTTTTAAGAATCATACATGATGTTTTACCCTCTTTATAAGAAATATTACATATATTTCAAGTCTTACAAGACTCTCTTTCACCATCAAATCTAGCGTGGCTTATGGTGGATTTTTGGGAAAGGATGTAAAGCTCTGTGACCAGTGCACCACATACAACCGGCATGCTTGGTTTGGGCGGTAAAGTATTAAACCTCCTTACATTTTTTGATGGCTAATCCCATAATACAGTTAGTTCTATTTGATACAGGACATTTTAAAATGACAATAAAACACCTTCTTACAGTTTGAACAAACTGCTGTGGAAGGAGCTGTGGAGTCTTATGTTGTAACCCTTAATAAAAACATTATATAACACTGCTCTGGTATGTCAGTGATTTATGCATACTCTGTAGCTGCAGTGGTGGAGAAATGATCATGTTTCAATCTGCTGTGTGAAAATGTCCAAAACATGAACCCGACTTACTGCATCAAGCCTGAATTACATAGCCTGTATGCAGTTGTGTAGCAGTCCATAAACATGTATGCACATGTCTGTGGTAGACAAACACAACCACAACCTATGACAATATTCACACAAAGATAGACATTACAAATTATTATTATACAGACATTCTTTGTTTAATGAGTGCCTATTTCTTTCCCATCAGTCAATCACAGGACTTCATTACATAACAGTTTTTCTAATACCGCTTTAAGAGAATCTATCAACTCCCACATGGCAGTTTCGTTAGTTCCCAGGCACCAACCAGTACTCCAAAAATTAAATAATTAATTGATTAAATGATTAGTCCATAGGCAAAAATAACTGGCCACAATTTTTTTAAGTAATACGCAATCCCAAAAATGTACTGGTATTAGATATTTAAATGTGAATATTTACTAGATTAATATTCTTCTGTGATATATAAACTAGGAAGTAGTTTAATATTTGCTCAAAATCTTTGGGTACTTGACTGTTGGTCAGACAAAACAAGCAATAATCATGTCTTAACTAGGGCTTTAAGGAATAATAATGAACATTTTTCAGTATTTCCTGACATAACTATCAGACCTATTGATACTGAAAATAATTGTTGGTTGCAACTTTCCAGTATTCTATCATTGGAATAATGCTACCTCACCCCCTGGGTTTTCTGTGTATTATGTTAACAAACAGAAAAATTAGAAGTAATATGATTTAAAAAAACAACTTCACACATCAGCTAAGTATAAACTAAAACATTAAGGTTTTAAAACTTATTTTGACTTTGACACAGTAAACAATGCAAAATGTTTTGGTGAGTCGCACTGAATGTAAATATTTTTTGTTTATGAGAAAAATCCACAGTGCAACTTTGAATTAAGTCAAGACAGACACTGAGGACGAAAGCTGAAATCAGACGTGAACTCACCATTGGCTCTGTTCCCAGATGGCAGCGCCTCATCTTCGTTACTCTGAATCTGAAAGACAAACACATTGAATAAAAAAAAAACAAAAACAAAAACAAAAACAAAAACAAAACAAAAAAAGCTGCTGAGATTCAGGATCTTTTACTAACAGGTCTGTCGCTACACAGCAGTTTGGATTTATGCTGATATGCTGGGTTAACATGCCTGTTCTCCTAAAGCAGTAGACTCATCAGCAGGTAAACTTGTCCTAGAGGTACATTCAAATATGAATAGAGGATGATTTTAATCTTATTTGCATGAAAGCCAAAGTATTTTTGTAGTCTGTGTTTACTGGCCTTGGGAGGCACACATTAACTAAAGAGTGATCATGTGTCCAGAACATTATGTAACATGAAATAAATTCCTTTTATGGTATCAATCAAATAACACTAGAAATGACAGTCTGAAGAGAAGTTTATCATGGGAGAATAACGCAGACTGGTTCCAGTTTAGCTCAGAGCAGTGTCTCCTGTTGATTCACTTGCTTTACATGTTCTGATGAAATGCATCCTGTAACTCCAATAGATCTGTGATGAAAGGACAAGGTACATCCCAAGTCCAGGGAGAACACCTTACCTCCTCCATGTCAAAAGAGTCTGCGTTTTCACTACGAAGCTGGGCCAGCTGAGGTGGGGCTAGGGGGAGAGGAGCTTTCTCTGCCACTGAGGTAAGGTTCTTCTCCTTCTCCTCTTCTTTTCTAACCATGTGGGTTCTCTCCTCTGTTTTTTGATTGGTTGACTGAAGTTCAGCTGACTCTGGCTCTCCATTGGTTGTCGGTCCAGTGCTAGTCTGTTCAGGACTGATGGGAGATCAGACATTGGTCAGTGGTGAAAAGTCCTTACTTACTTAAATACTCATGTAAAGATTTGAGTACATTCACTGTATTTACTTTATATTTCTAATACACTAAATTTGTACTTTATTACATTTATCTGATAGCTATTTAGTTCACAAATTAGGTTGTTACATAAAAAAACAAAACAAAACCCAAGTACAAAATAAAATGTATAGTTAAAATGATAAGCCAGTAGTTTCCTTTCACCTTGTGACTCCTTATAAAAAGCACACTGTTTAGTTTGGACCCCTTGTCAGTTTCAGATGTATACAAGTTGTTAAAAGTTACACCACATAGTTTAATTTATATTGATCAAATAATACAGCAATTTGTAAAAAAAAAAAAAAAAAAAGTAAGATTTAATAGGTAAGTCAATAAAATACTTCTTTTACTTAAGTCAAACATCTGAATACTTCGTCCATTACTGCAAACTGGTCTAAATAATAGTGAGCTAACACTGGCTGTACCTGTTATCTGTCAGTCGATGCATCTCTCCATCCCCATTGGTTTCCTCTGTAACAGTTGCCAAGGGGCTGTCTCTCCTACGGACGTGTTTCTGACCGACCGTCTCTCCCTGGTGCTCGGGGTCGGTACTGGAGCCATCCTGTTCTGGACCAGTGTGTGCATGACCGTTGGTGTGTGCGTGATCAGAGGGGGTGTGTCCGTTCAGCTGTTTGTGTTGGTTAGGTGTGTGGGCTTCAGCTGACTGAGTGGCGGCCGGTGCTGCAAGCAGGTTATGTCTGGTGATGGTTCTCTTGAAGAGTTTCGCCGCGTTCAGAGCCGAGCTGCTCCTCTTCAGAGGTGGAGGTGCGAAGTCATCTCCTCCTTCTCCTCCTCCTCCTCCTCCTGTGAAGATGAACAAATCAGAATAAACACTGTTATCTAAATGCAGTGCTAAATTCTTAACGCAAACTCATACTGTGTTACTGTAATTTCTGCCTATAGTGATGACAAAAGTGTTATGAAACTGAAACTAATGTACAAATGAATTCATCCAAAACTGTATGTGTTTTTCCATTAAAAAAAGGAGGCCCCTCTTCTTAAAATTATAGTAAGAGGACAGAGGCTATTGAATGTTCCACATGTCAAATATTTAGGTGTGATTTAAAACCATCTCAAAATGTTAAAAACAATTTAATGTAATCTTGCTCCAGATTTATAAGGAACCAAATGAGCACAGATGCTGAAAAACTTTACATTCCCTCAATGATATTGTCGCACTTTTCATACTATATCACAACTTGGTCTCATACAACTAGTACATTATTATAACCATTTCAACTTCTGTATAAGCAAGCACTGAAAATAATGGATGAAAAACCCAATTCTTATCATATTTGCAGTACAGTTCAAAGGTATATCGGCTGACATTTTTAACAATATGTATAACAGCACTGGCTCAAGAATGACGAGAGCCTCTAGAAGAGGAGACTGTTAAGTCTAGGTCAACAAAATGTGGTCAGAACTCTTTTCAGTTAAGGCAGCTGGGATGTGGAATTCTTTCAAACTGAGTATCGGAGAGTGTAGGGCTTTTAAGACTAAATTCATTTTGAAAACGTGGCTCAAAGGACACTCAGAGCTACAGTGATGATGTGGCCAGCATTAATAATTAAGGGACTGATTGGAAATGGCTTCTGTTGACGAGTTTGGAACTCTTTTTATTGTTTTTGTAATAATATCTTTGGTGAAAATAATTCAATATTCCAATAAAAAAAATGAATGTGGCATATTTTCCTTGACAAATAAGGAGAAATTTGCTTACGTTTGACTAAAATGGTCATATTTTGGTGACGACAACAACCAAACAAGAAAACAAATCTAAATGGTTCTTGGGGATTTTACTTATTTATTTATGACTAAAACATCTGGAATTTCCATTGATTTAAAGGCGATATTTGATCCCTGAACAAAGATTAGGATTAAATCTTTATATAGCTGATAAAAATAATCTAACACTATTTATATATACTGAAGATGAACAGTGTATTTGGGGCCAGTCAGCATGTTTTCAGGTTAATTATCTTGACAACAAAAGGGCTAATTTCTTGAGAAAAATTTTGCATTAAAACATCTTGTAGAGAAAAAAAAATACCAGAGAGCAATCAGTCACAAGCTCCCCACATCCTATACACACTGGGCACAGTGCATCAGCTTTAAGTTACATTTTTGCAGTCACAGCTGTTCTCAGCTTCTGTCCTTAACAAATCTGATATTCTATTGCCATCTGAAGCTTCAAACGTTCAGTGTCAGGCTCTAAATCCCTGTTCCTTTTATTTGAAACAGATGCTACCAGAGGAATTGTCCCTTACAAATCCCATTTGTTTGTGGACCTGGCACAGTTGGCATTGCTACCTTGTTGATCCTTGGAGTTGATGCACTTGACGGGCTGACCAGAGACCTGACTGTAGAGCTGGAAGAACTCATTAGCTACTGTGGTCAAGACCTCGATCTGACGGAAACGACCTGGAAGAGAGAGAAACAAAACAGTCATAAATTGCTCCACAGAGGTAAAACTAAGTTAAAATAAAGACAAAGAATTGCATGTCAATCACAAAATTACTGTATACATTTGTTCATTTAAGAAAATGTGAATGAAAACCTTTTTAAAAATCTGCACCGATTTGCAGTCTTAAAGATTTTGAGTACAACTGTTACCAAATCAAAAAAAAAAAAAACAAAAAAAACCCAGAAACGTGATCTGTTCAAAGTGGTGTATTTTCCCATATTAAATGGATCCAGGCTTGAAAACTCTCACTGCTTCAAGTATGGGCTAAACAGTGACGCACAGAAATGAAACTGACTCTGGGTAAAGGCTTTTGGACCAGGTGAAAGGGAAAGAAATATGGGGAAATCTGTTGCACTACGAAACATATCCAGTATCTTGAAGCCTTGGCACCAAGATAAAAATTCTGACAGTGTATGAAAGTTAAAACCAAATTATCACAAAGTGAGTAATGTTATGCCCTACATCCACAAACCAATCAATCAGATTAAAATGAACCTGATAATCAAACTGACCTGACATTTTTTTTTCTAAGTGATTTATTCAACCTGCAGTTTGGCCTTACAGGCAGCAGTGAGCTGAGAGATGAATGAAAACAGCAACTAATAGAAACAAACACATAGTTTATCGCCAATGTCACTGCTGTCATTGCCACCAAAACCATCTAGAAAGAGCAGTGAGAAGAAGCAGCCAAAAGACACCGTCACATCCAAAGCTGTAACAGACGAATAATATTTTATTTACAAATCCATTAGCTGATGGAATAAAAACCCTCCATCCAAATGGAGGAGGAGGACGCTCAAAGTAAGCACCTTAAGTCTGAGAGCAAAGGGTTTCCAAAAATGTTAAGACTGTTTCTTTAAGTGCAATATGTGGCAGTGAGGAGATCAGGACACAGATTAGTTAAAAGTCCGAACCTGTCTCTCCCTTCTCTGAGCCACTTCAGATATCTATGTTACGTCAGCTGGTGCACAAATTTCCTCAGTGGAATGAAGTCTGTCTGCTTACAATTCCACAAAAATTTATAGCAAAAGTTAATGTCATACACCTGTCATGAGGATGATTTATGTGGCCAGAATCTCACTTTAGTGCTCAACATGGATTACTTTTTTCAAAGTTTATTCTCTACGGTGTAATCAACAGCTAAATTAAGTGGGTTTATTGCAGCAGAATTAAGAAAAATGACACTTTATTCATGAAAAATGAACACTATTACTGGAAACAGATGAAAAATCAGTCATCCCATTGGTTTTACAAAAGAGTTTGAGATAGGTTTCTAAAGTGAAGTAATTTTT